TCCTTTGGGAGAAAAGGAGAATAAAATGTTTTAAGTAAATTAAGTCTGTAAAATACAAAATAGGTAAGGACATCAAGAACTGATATGCATCTCCACTATGTGAAGAACAAAGAGTTGAGACTTCAACAACAGGTAACTATTTATTCCCCAACCAGACACGCAAGCATGGCTTACTGGTGCCTCCTTCCTTATCAATAACCCTCTCTCCAATGAGAATCCTTTGCTCACTGAACCAATAACAATAACAGTACAACACCTTTATTGGCATATAAGATAATAAATAAGTTACTTCATCAGGTATCATTACACCGGTCTTCTTAAAACACGTCAATATTAAAAAAAAAACCCTCCTTATTGCCAAGATCTTCGTCAAGAATTCAGCAGTAACTTCAGGTGACTCATCAGCTAAAAGGTACCTAAAAGTTAAACCTAGACAGTATGGGCTTAATCCAAAGTAATTGAAGATGTGAGTGGAGGGGACAGCATAATAAGATGTGATCTAAGGTATCAGGTTCTCCAAATGAGCAATTACAAATTCTATCACATTTTGGGATATCTCTGTATCTACCTGAAACCCAAGATGAGGGGAAAACATTGGCTAGCATAAAGGCTCTGCGTTGCAGCGGGATCACCAAGTTAGAGAAGTATTTTGCCATACTATTTGGTACATATCTGAGGCCAAGAGAAAGGGAGGAGCAAGTACCCACGGCACCAGCCTGGATTATTTGGACTTCCAATGTCCCAGATTCTTCTACAAATTGTCCGGTATATGAAATTCTCATCTTGATTTTCCAAGATGTCCAGGTCAATGCCAATTGAACATATTTTTGAGGTTATAGCCTGTGACCACTTTGATACATATGGATCCATAGTTAAGAGTGCAATAAGACTATTCTGAGGGGCACTAAAATGGATACGAAGCCAGTATTTAATGGTGGTGATCCATGCCCTCGAGTCTAAGAGATGGAGACCCAACTCAGCACAGAGAGAATAGTAGGTAACAGAGTTAGGCCATCCAAGAATACGCCGTAAAAAGATTGCATGGATTCGATCAATCTCTTTGTTAAAACTCTGAATCCATACAGGGATTTTATATAATAAGCGAGACCAGGGGTCGTTTTGTAGAAAAAGAGGTGCAGGAGCTCATTAGCACAACTTATTTGCATATGCCACACCCCCTGACATCACCTGAAGTGTGTCAGAAGGCAACACCCACCGCTCAGGCTCCACTGGACTGTTTTGGATTGCTAGCTATTGGGGGGGGGGGCGTGCAGATTGGTCCTTGCAGGGGAGGGAGAGCTTGTATCTGAATAAAACTTGGTCTTAAAGGTGCCACTGGACTGTTTTGGACTGGGGAGCTGGGGGGGGGGGCTCTGCAACTTACCTGGCTGCTTCTTGCTCTGACTGAGGGCTGCTGGGAGCAGGGGTGGGGCTTGTTGCATGTGCCCGTCCCCTGGGCTCTTTACTACCGGAGCTCCGCTCCTGTGCGCTCCTGCAGGAACAAACAGGGCAGGGCAGCTGGGACAAACTGATTTCCTTGTCGGTAATAAAAATGGGTAACAGCCAAAATCCTATTTTTAGCCAATTGGAGCAACTGGTCCCGATGGAAAGACCACTTTACATTATAGTGAAACCAAACACCCGAGTACCTAAAGGCTCACTGAACCCTTAAATAGAACATGAAAAGGAAAACTGTAGTAACAACAGTGAAGATGAATTAATCTGTAGTAGTGGGACCCAATACTTTGCCCTGCTCAAGATGGAAGAGCAGGCCCAAGGATAATATATGAATGATGTGACAAAACACCCAAAATAGCATAGCATGCTTTGTTATTGTTGTTTTGCCATCAGCACAACTGACTTATGGTGACTCTGCAGGGTATTCAAGGGAAGAGACATTCAGAGGTGGTTTGCCATTGTCTGCCTCTGAGTAGCAAACCTGGTATTCCTTGGTGGTGTCCGATCCAAATAGTGACCAGGGCTGACCCTGTTTAAGCTTCCAAGAGCTGACAATATCAGGCTATATAGGTCAGGACATAGCATGTCAGAGGGCTCAAAAGGTATTGGAGTGAACTGGCAACAACAGAACCATATTCAATTCACATCTTTAAATAATCTGTTCAAGAAGCAAAGGTTAAAGGAGCCAGGAACATTTAGTCTTGCTATTACACTGTTCTGGAAGGTAGGATATGGTCGTTCAAACATTTAGAGACTATCAAAAACATAAGAACTAACTGCTGATTACCTCTGATTATAGTGTTGGTAAAATAGCATAACTTTGGCTATAGATCAAGATGGGTAGCCGTGTTAATCTGTCCGTAGCAGTAGAAAACAGCAATAGTCCAGTAGCACCTGAAAGACTAACAAAATTTGTGGCAAGGTATGAGCTTTCATGAGTCACTGCTCACTTCTTCAGATACAGCTAGAATGTGAGTCCATCTGTCCTATATACTGGAAAGTGGAGTGATTTTAGATGCTGAATGACATCTCTCACAAAAGAATTTCAAAGGGAGATTACATAGAGACTGCTGAATTGCAACTGATAATGAAGCGCAAGACAATGCATCCACCTGGATTTAATCAAGACCTAGGTTTCCTGTCTCATTACCAATGCTGATTCCCCCATGTCCCTCTGCATATCACACCTAATCCACTTTCCAATATATAGGACAGCTGGACTCACATTCTAGCTGTGTCTGAAGAAGTGAGCAGTGACTCATGAAAACTCGTACCCTGCCACAAAATTTTCTTAGTCTTTAAGGTGCTATTATGTGCCATCTCCTGTTGCAAATTGTTTTAAGTGCATCATTTGACTGTAAGTTACATTCTAAAATGTTTAAATTGATTTATGATTGCATTATAAATCTGTTGTTACCCTGAGCCCTGCAGTGAGGGTGAGTCAAAAATAGAAATAAAAAAATATTGGCTATACGTTACGTTATCAATAACATGTTGAAGCAAGAGAAGTTATGTATACACATGTACATGTCCTTGGTTTAATTTGAACAACCAGAATAAAGGGCGTAACAATAATCTTTCTAACTGCTCTTCTTACATCGGAAGGACTCACTGCTTAATAAAACAAGCACTGAAGGAAAGAGCCACCACGGATAACCAGTGAATATCTTGCATCGTACTTCTAATCCAATGTTTAAGTGTTTAAGCCTGTATGGGTCTTTTATTTCTGATATCTCTCTTCTTCATCACAAATAGGCAGTTACTTTCTAATAAGGGCAGAAGATCTCAGACAAGTTATGATTGATTAGAGAATAAAAGTAGTAATCCAATGATGAAAACTAAAGACCTACACATAAAGCTGAATAAAGAATAGAGCCTACTCACCTAACAGACACACATACTTCTCTTCAGTTTGAAAAGTAAGCACATGCTTACCAGTATGTCTCTGTTCACAAGTTACAGTGAACACATGTACAATCCATGGACAGTGTACACTTGATTTTTCTTTATACACACACAGAATAATTCTTATGATACATTCAACGTGAGTATAGATGAATGTGTGGTTTAAACCCCACATTTATCCAGGTACTGGTCAACAGTTTCATTTGTAAAGTGAACAAATGCTGGCTCTTTCTTACAAACAGGCAGAATATATGTTTGTGTGAATAGAGCTAAAAGGAAGTACAATTAAGAGGGAAAGTGAACTCAGTAAGCATTTTAAAGAATGAAATCAAAGAGAGAGGTTTCAAATTCATGAAAATAAAATAAAAAGGGATGTCTAACCCATTTTTGATAAGAGTATCTGAAAGGTTTTCCATAGGAAAGATATTTTACACCAGAAATAACTAGAACAGACTTCAAAATATCTCAACATGTCAGTGCTTTAAGCATCTCACTTAGTAACAGTATGTATCTACCATCCCTCAAACCCAGCAGCTAAACTCCTTATTTCCTTATCTCACAGCTGTGTGCTCTGACACCACAGCTCAGACAAGGAAGCCAATAGCACAAGCCCCCCCCCCCCCAAACCCTACAGCAGCCAGAAGTGTGTGCCACTGACTTCAACAGCATGGACACCATGGTAACTGTGCACAGAGCTGGAGCTTCTCTAACACATTTTCTTGAGAGTACGGCCCATGGAACAAGCTAGCAGCACATACTTCCGCGTACGTAGGGTGAGGCTGCACATACAAAGGGCCAGATGGAAAATTTTCAACAGAAACAGTAACAAGGTATGTTAATAGCATGTTATAAATATGTCGAGACAGCTTCATTTTTTTAAACTGAAAACTATATTAGTGTTGTCTACTGTAAAAAAATTAAGGATGCCACTCTATATCTAGGCATAGGTGACCTCTAGGATCCTATCTAACGGTGTCAAGAAACTAGTCTCCTTAAAGAGTTTTGCTGCATAAGAGTTAGCGTTCCTGACTATAGAAGTCATCACTCCCCCCTGCCGGCTTGTTATCAGAATTATTACTTAGGCTGGCAGAAGTGATTAACTTGCAGCACCTGAGAATTGTCATCTGAAGTGGTTGATGGCTTGCAATTTAGAGATCTATCCTGGCCAAATGGCTTTTCTTTCTGCACTGAGAACTTCAGCCCCGCCAGAAACAAATTTGCCCCACAAGCCACAAAATCCTGCCTACGGGCCTGCACCACTTTATTTAGTTCTAAACAGCATCTCCTCTCTATTTTCATACCGCAGTTTTACAGAGAAAGAGCTCCCAATATCCCCCACCACAAAACAGAGAGAGCAACAGCTCTCTTACCGCTCCCCCTGCGCAAAGATGAAACCCACGCTTTCCGCCAAGCCTCTCAAGAGCAGCCACCTCATTCCAGGCACCGCCAACTTGCCCGCCGGAGCGTTCGGGACAATCCGATTGGCAGTTTTTCCTTAGACCCGCCCTCTGACATCAGACGCAAGAGGAAAGAAACAGAAGGAAATACACTCATAACCGCAACTGCGGTTTCGAGCTCTTCCTTACCACCACCACCCTTTTAAAACAACAACAACTTAGCTTTGCAGAGTATCATACCCGTCTCAACTCTATTCTGAGAGGGAGGAATAGTTGCCAAGCCTAGCCTGGGAAAAGAGTGTCAAAGGCGACACTCGGGAGCTAATGCGCAGGCGTAGAGGGAGGGAGGAGTGAGAAGCGTGGCTGTAGGAACTGGGAGCGGCTCGTTTTGGGTCCAATCGAGAGCGGTTGAGAGGGGTGCGCGCGCACGCGCCTGCGATAGCGGTTGGGAAAGACGCGAGGTGCGTTCTGAGGAACTTGGGTGGGGGGAGGAGAGGAAGTCGGCAGAAGGAGGCTTAGCGCTCTGCCCCGCCCCCCGACCGGGAGGAGACCGAGGAAGTGGGAAACGGAGGGAACCGGGCATTAGCGTCGGCTCATTCAACGTCCACAGGTAGCCAGTTCTTTCGCTCGCCTCTTTTCCGCACCCGGTTGGGGGTGGCGGAGGCACCCCTGTTCTAATTATTGGGGTTCTTTAGACCTTGTATGGGGGCTGCCTCCCTGTTCCGTGTGGGAGCGGGGAGTTTCTCTTGTCGCTCCCCGAGGTAGGGTGATTCTATTTTACTTCAGTAAGTCTGAAAAAGCCGCTTCCTAGTCGCTTAGGGCAATGCCCACGTTTCTTTACTCTCCCAGGGTGATGGGCATTTACGAACTAAATTTGTTCTGTTTTCCTCTCCCCCCCCCCCCTTCCCCCCGCGCAGACCCGTTCCCAGTACGCTCAGGCGAGTGTTCTCTCCCTCCCCCCCCCCCGCGTATGTGAAGGAGGATGCAAGTTCTCCACATCGTTGCAACCCTTTCTCACAACTTCGGATTACTGGATCCCTTTTCCCGAAGAAGAGGCTTGTCCCTGGGAGTGATGCCTATAATCTACAGTTCAAAATAAGTACTGTTGAGACAGGATTCGAGTGTAGTCATTTGCCTTTCCATTGTTTGGCACAACCACCCTCTGCTGGGTGTTGGATTTTGTTAAAATAACAGCAAGCCGTAGTTGCTGATGGGAGTTGTACTTTCTCTGAGCCTTGCTTGTGATACTATAAGCAGAAACTAAAGTCATGTAATACTTAAGATACGAAGGCTGGAGTGAGATGCATGCAAGAATCAACTCATTGCTTTTATGTGCTCCACCTGATGTTCAATTATTCTTCTCTAAATCAAGAAACCTGCGGTGAGAACCTGTGCTGTTTTCTGCTATTTTGCCGGCATGTTATGTTACAGAGCAGTTGCAGTTAAGTGCCTTGCCTTTGGATCATAACGTGACAAAAGCAAAACTGTCTGCAGCAAGCTGCTGTGTATTTATTCTGTGTTTGTGGAAATTCTTAAACTACATTAAGAAAGACAAAAATGTCGTTCTTTAACTTCCGTAAGATCTTTAAGTTGGGAGGTGAAAAGAAAAAGAAGCAGTATGAGCATGTCAAGAGAGATCTGAATCCAGAGGATTATTGGGAAATTATAGGAGAACTGGGTGATGGAGCATTTGGCAAAGTATTCAAGGTAAGAAATTTTTTGCTCTATGTTATCCTGAAATACTTGTCTTTAAACCTTATTCACTAGAGTTTGTCACTTGTTTATAAACATTTCATAGTTCAGAGAAAGTTTTGATGATATATTGATTTAATTCTACAATGTGATGTCAAGATGAAGGTTTTTTATTGTTCTCAGTCATAACTGCTTTTGTCATAAATGGACATAGGTCGTAGTCCTTAATCAGTGCCCTACAATAATAGAAACAAATATGGCTGGTAGGTCACAGGCCCACCCTTTTCTCCTTGACTGTTGCAAAGCTGTTCTATTGCTATGTAGCTTCTTTTCTGGAGTTTTATTTGTTTCTTCTGTATGCTAGAAGAAAGGGGAACTTTATGTTTGAGGGTATTATGTACTACTCTGTACAAATGCACATATTAAAGGTTTTAACTGTTTTGTTATGAAAATGTTAGCTTACTGTGTTAAACAGTGTACACTGCTGGTGCTTGAAGTGAAAAGTTCAGGAGTTTTTCTCTAGGTTGACTCCTCTAAGGGGTTCACAGAACCTTTTGTATGATGTCTATTGATCTGTATGTCTCCAACCTCCCCCCCCCCCAGCTGAACTACTGTCAAACAAGAGATGCTAAGGGAAGAAGGCTGTGCCTTGAAACATTATCAGTTGCCTTTTGATTTTCACGTTGTTATGTTGTTGAGTGAGGAATGTGTTTGGTTCTTATAAAGGAAAGCAGTGTTTTAAAATATGAACTCGTCAGGGACAGAAATTAATCTAATGGCCAGGTTGCTAGAAGAGATACAAGTATTGGGGGGGGGGATCAAGTGTTGTTTTAGATGACAATGTTTTAAATAGTCATTCTCATATTATATGGCTCAGGTCTGGTGAATTGCCTTTATAAGTTTTTTTAGTTGTTTAAAGGAAAGTTGAATATGATACTGTCCTTTTTGATTGAACACTTATATAGCTTTTCTGGTTACTTCTGTTTTAGTAGTTGCAGATAACCAAAGATGATAGTTTACATTATAAAAAGTTTATGTATTTTTTGGCCCCCCCAGAGGGGATTTTTTAATTGCATTTTTATAAAGACTACAAACTACAACAGAAATAGGAAAGGGGACTACATTAAGGGATAAAGAAAAGATACCCACTACTATCTAAAAACCCAAGGGAGGAGATCATCTAGTTAGCTTGGCACACATTATTTCTCAATCACGCTAATCTCATTATGAACTGATTCAACTATAGTATTATCTTTTTCATATCTTAACTATCACTGTTAACCCAAAAGACCCCTAAGCATCTAGTATAAAAAAACCAAAATGTTTTTCAAAGGCACAATTTAGAGTCCTTCAGCCTTCATTTCCCCTTGCCCAGTCTCTTCTGCAGTTTATAAGGACTTTTAGGGGCGGCTGCTCCTTTCTCTGATAGAGAGTCCTCTCCGGAAGACCCCGAGTCCAGCTCGCCCCTGGACTTACTGTCCATCCCTTCTTTTTCTTCCTCCTCTGGCTCTCCCATCTGGACTCTCAAAAATTGCCGTGGTTTCTGAACAGAGTCAATCTTTTCCTTTTTATCCTTGATTTTGAAGATCACTCCTTCTGGTGTTAGCCATCTGTATCCAATTGAGTTTGTCTGGAGAAAAAGAATTAAATCTTTGTACTTCTTTCTCTTTTGTCTTATTTCAAATGGAATGTCTTTTAGGATTCTGATAGCATTATCTCCAACTTTCAAAGGCGCTCCAGATGCCGCTTTCAAGATTGCATCCCTCACACATCTCTTCGAGAATCTTATCACTATTTCCCCAGGCAGATTGTTTTTCTTTATATATCCTGAATATGACCTGTAGGCCACATCCATATCGCTCAGCAAAGACTCTGCCTTCATCTCTGTCATTGGGGCCAATAATTCACTCATCTTCTCCTTCAGATTCTCTCCTTTAGTCTCTGGAAGGCCCTGAAAGCGAAGAATCAAATTAGCTTTTTGCATTTGTAGTTGTAACAGCTGATCTTCCGTGGAGATTTGCTTCTTTTCCAGCTTTTGTACTTTCTTCTTCATCTTTTGTGCAGTGGCGTCCACTTCTTTCACCTTCTCAACTGTTTGATTCATCATTTTAAGTGTCTCACTCAACTGTGTTTGCTGGGTGGTGATCCATTGATTCATTGTTGACAGCTGCTGCTTGAGATTATTCATCTGGTCCAGCAGAGGTCGCATGGATTCTGCCAATGTCTTTGCCAGCTTGCTGGTTGCTTCCGGTTTTGGGCTCTCAGTCCCTTTCACTTTTAAAAGTTTCTCTTTCTCTGTCCTTTTCCCTGCCATCTTTGTGGATTGTTTACTTTAACCGATATTTTAAAAGTCTCTGAATATGTGCTTGTACGCTCGAACTCGCCTTGGTAAGTCTTAATAGTTTTATTCACTTTTTCTTCCGCTCCCCCCTCCCCAACTCGCTTTTAAGTACGTGCATTTGGGAGGCGTCCCTCCCCCGCTCGCCTCACTTTCTGTTCCGTGGGGGGTTTGGGGAGCTTTCTTTTCCTTTTATTTAAACGCTTAGATTGAACTCACGTTCATAGTTGGTCCTCAGACCTCGTTTAAGCTCTGTTTCTTTCGCTTGACCTCCTGTGCTTGCCCCGGTCAGCGTCGCTTGGTTCCATTCGGTCTCATAGCACAAAGAACCTTTGGGACGGAGAGGCGCCTCAATTCCCCGGCAATGCGCCGGCGAAGAGGCAACCCCTCGAGAGTCCTATGGCCAGAGCCCCTTCAGCCGGATCTCTAGGTGGTGACAATCCTGCGCACCCCCTCCTTCAGCCAGAGCGCAGCTTCACCCCCGGTAGGTCCGGGAGGTGCGACTGCTCAGTGTGCCGCCATAAACCGGAAAAACCTAAATGTTTATGTATTTTTAAATGGGAAATATTTTTGGTATTATACTGGAAGTCAGTGGAGTGTCTGAATAATGTCCTTATGGCTGTTCTGTAAGAATTTAATATATTTTGATAGCCTTGATTCCAAAAGAGTTAGCAAAAGGCTCCTTCAGTGAAATCTTAAGTATTCCTCACAGTTGCTATTCATGTAACTTTTTCTTGCTGATTTACAGTGTATGCAGAAAAGAGCCTAATAGGGTTAATTCATAATTTATACCTCTTCCTGTGAAGAGCAGGTAGTTTCTTCATCACTGTGTTTGCATATATTAAATAAAATAGTTGCCAGTCTCCTGTAGTATAGGAGAGAGAGCATCTGATTCCTCTGACTGGTGAATGTTACACAATGAAATTGCCATATTATCAATATCTGGACCTTACATAGATCTTCTTTCAGAATTTTAAAAGAACCATTTTTATACATTGTCACTAGCTTTCAGAGTAGAACGATGTGTAGTTTTTATTGAGGATAATACCTTTTGCTTTAATTGGTTGCTGAGGTTTTCCCTTTCTAACTCTGTCAAAGTTTACCTAAATTTTGCAAAACCAGTTTGCTTCTTTTAAAATGAGACTTGTACATGCTTCACTTATACATAGTTATAAATGCCAATTTCTTGATCAAATTGTATCATCATTTTAAAGCTTCTAGAAAGTAATTTTACTTTGAGTACTTCAGAGTCTTATAAGGGTTATGCTTTCCTGTTTTTATAGGTAGCATTAAAATACTGAAGCTATGTCAACTGG